CTGCACTCCAGTCTGGGTGACGGAGTGAGACTCCAACTCAAAAAAAAAAAAAAAAGAAAAAGAAAATATAAGCCATAACTGAACACTTATCTAGCTCCATACTGAGGGTTAGCTGAAATAAAGCTTGAAGACTCTGATGTGCCTCCTTATCAGCGTGAGTGGTTCGGGTATAAGAATGAACTCTACATCTCTTCAGGGTCAGGAAGAATGAGGTCACAGGCACTGAGAAGAGCTCTAAGACTCTGAGGAGCTACTCAGTGTGACAAAGATGAAGATTAGAACAAAAGCAGAGAAGCCTTAAGCCCCAAACATATCTGGTTTAGTGGACAAGGGAAGGCTGAGGCAGGAGGATTGCTTGAGCCCAGGAGTTCAAGTCCAGTCTGGACAACATAGCAAGACCCTGTCTCTTAAGAAAAAAAAGATTTCTTTTTCTTCAGAGGATTATTAAAGACACTCTTTAGAGGATAATTAAAACTTTATTGTTTCTATGCCATTTTTTACTTTTAGGTGGAGAACTTAAACTTCACAGGGTGCTTATTTCCAACTGTCAAGACATGCAATTCAATTTTCAAAGACCAATTATCTGAACAAACACATAAAGTTCTAATAATGTCAAACATCTAGCTATCAGTCCAAGCGTCTGTCAGCTGGTGAATGGATAAACAAAATGCAGCATATCCCACAAATGGAATATACAAGGCAATAAAAAGAAACTATTAATATATAGTATCAAAATAAATACATTTCAAATATTACACTAGATGAGTGGAACTAGACACAAATGACTATGTTTTATATTATTTCATTTGTATGAAATTTCTAGAAAGGCAAAACCACAGAGACAGAAGGTAGACTGTTGGTTGTCTGGGGTCAGAGGTAAAGTGGGGAGAGATGGCAGAGGGGCTAGAGGGAGCCCTGGGCTGACAGGATGCTGTAAACTGGACTGTGGTGTGTTAGTTCTGGCAGCCTGACCTGTGGTCTTAGAGGGCCTGGGTGTCAGTGGCAAGCACATGGCAGGACATGGTGCTTCATGCATGCCCCTTCTCATTGCTCCCCACCTGCTGGCCATTTCTTTCTGGCCAGAAAGGCAGAGGGCCACCAAGATCACGTTCCCTTTGTATCTGCATCCATATTATTTGCAGACAGAAGTGGTCATCGGCCAGAGTATGCCTTTACTACACAAAGCCTCCAGGATGGAAACTTAATTTCAAAGCTCTGCCTCTGGCAAAACAAAGGACAACAGTCAAAAAACCCCAAGTGTGGGCTGGACATGGTGACAGTTGACAAACTATAAATTTACTACAGTTCCCTGAACCGTACACTTAAAATGATGACTAACATGGCACATCAATCTGCCTCCACACAGCTGCTTAAAACCCTGCTCTCATCAGCCTCGTATCATCTCATGCTCCAAAGTTACAGCTGAAATTGTTATTTTTCTAAGCTTCCCTCTATAGCTTTTTCTGCAAAATCCTCCTAACTCCATGATTCTTGTCACTGTGTGCTCAGAATCGGAAATTAGTCCCTTGTAAAACTAAGATCCAGCCTGATACAATGTCTGGTCCTTATGCATCAGTGGTGTTTGTCCCATGTTTACTGAAGCATATCCCTGTGCTGACTCTGGCTCCCAGCCACCTGTGTGTCACTGTGTCCACTGCAGCCAGTCCACTCCTAGATTTGAGACAACAACTTGTACTACCTTCACTAAGTTTACTAAAACAGTGTTCAGGGGCTGGCAAACAATTGCCTTAGCCCAAATCCAACCAACGAGAGTATCTACCTACCTACCTACCTATCCCATCTATGTATGCATGTCTGTATGTATGTCTGTATGTATGTATCTACCTATCTATTTATTAATCAATCATGTATCTATCCACCTATCTACCCACCCACCTATCCACCTACGTATCCATCCATCCATCCATCCATCCATCCATCCATCCATCCATCCATCCATCCATCCATGTCAGGGTCTCACTCTGTCAGTGATAAACACACGAGGAAGACGGCATGTGGCCCACAAAGCCACAGAAGAGGCTGCTGGCCCAGAGCCAGATGCCAGCCTCCTGTAATGGGGATTAGGCTTTCGATATGAACAGTCATTTTTAAACTCATGACATATTTTTTATTTTTAGGATTTTGTTGAAAGGAACTCTACAAGGTACAATATCCTCCTATAATTTCAATTCTGACACGTGACTCAAATACTTTCTGAATGGAAAGTATCAAAACTGACATGGCTGTGTGCTGAAAAAAACTTAAATGATTTTATTACAAAATATATTTTATGCAAAAAATACATATTATATCGCAGTGGTATGTACCCCTTACAATAAGACATACTTTAAAAACAAGGTATTTTCAGCAGACACAACAGGTATGAAAGAAACACACTTACCAGTCCATACGCCATGCTTCTCTCATGTTCCTGGGTTATGTCTGCTACATATGCAAACACCACGGAGAAAGTCACTGCAAAAACCCCAGAAACAGAGATGACAGCAAAGTACCACCTAGGAAAGAAAGATCAGCAACAAGAAGTGTTACAACAATGACCATGATGTTAGTTTTCCTTCATTGAGTAAGTTAACTAGAAGAGAGAACAGCTGATCACAGTCAACAGCTTACTAGGACAATTCACAGATGAACTCTTCTATAAATCATAAGCCACAGTTTAGAAAAACACAGGGCTAACGAGAGCCCTTCAGAACTCAGTTGCTCTACAGGAATAGTTAGTGTATTCAGGTGACTCTTCATCCATCTGTTGAAGTACTAATTGGCTATGCTGTTTCTACTAAAAACAAAAGTCTATTATAAGCTATCTATGACTATTTTCCACAACAATACTACATAAGAGACAAAATTCAGTAAACAAAACCGAGGAAAGCATTTCTTCACGTTCACTTTGAGACTATATACAGACACTGGCTGTTTTCCGTATGTTATCATTAGCTCTTCAACTGCTGGCAGAACAAACAACTCAAGGCTCACCCAGAAGCAGCCGTGCTGTACAGCAGGGCTCAGTGCTCCTACCTGAGAGGAGGCAGTTACCATCGGGAGGAGCAAATGGTATTTTAAAAAGCAAACTAAACTTGGCTGTAGATGATTCCAAAATATCTAGCTGGGAAATAAGAGGCTTCTACTGTAAGACTGACATCTGGTTTTTGAGAACATGTATGATCATAATGAACTCTCCATGCCATCCCACCAGGACTTCACTGCTACGATGCCCCCAACACACTCTCTCCTCAGCCAACTCCTTGCTCATTTCCTGGATTCCCACGGAAGACTGGATGCGTGAGTGGCCTTCATCAAGAACTTGGTCTGTAGTGTTGCACCTAACCCCAAGAGCAAGAAGATCCTGAGCACATGGCCTGCGCCTTTCTAGACAATACCATGGAATTACAGCCCACCCATGATGTACAATTAACTAACGCTAGCACTCAGTGGCAAAGAAAGACTGTCATCCGGGGAATAAATCTACAACCAAACTAGGCTCTGCTACTTGGGAACAATCATTCTCTTTTTGTGAAATTTTTTTTCCTTCTGGCCTCCTCAGGGAAATAAGTCCTGGTTTTCATCTGAGAGGATTTAAGCCCAGCCTCTTGTAACCAGTAAGCAGCAATGCCTGTCACATGATCAGGCTGGATGGGAATCTGTGAGGTTCCTTCAGAGAAGCCAGTGGCTGTCCCGGCTCACACCCTCCAGCTTGCTGCCTGCAGTGAAACTCAAAGGCTGAGCCTACGGAGCCATCCTGGATGTAGAGAGAGCCGAGGACGGAAGGGCAGAAGTTAGAGTCTGGGCCACCAGAACCCGGGTCCACTCTGTGTGGCTCAACTCTGGCTTTTTTTTTCACATGGAGGAAAAAATAAACCTCCAGAAATAAACTGATATACACCAAAACCTATTCATAATTAATATAATGATAAACTGTACTTTTAATGCTCTACATAAGAAAAAAAGCTAGCAATCCTATCCAGTACCCAGAACACTGTTTTAAAATTTGGGCTGTGGAACCCATAGCTGACAAGCCTAAACCCAGAGGCCTCCCATGACAGCCTTTAGTTCCAGGAGCCTCATGAAACACAACTTGGATACTATGTTTCTAGGGCCCTTCTTATGTGTCAAAGAACAAAGATAATTACTGGCTGGGCCCAGCAGCTCGCATATGCGAAGCCAAGGAGGGAGGATAATTTGGGGTTAGGAGTATGAGACCACCCTGGGTAACATAGCAATACCCTGACTCTACAAAAAATTTTTTTAAAAAATTAGCCAGGCTTGGTGGCATGCACCTGCAGTGCAAGCTACTTGGGAGGCTAAGGCAGGAGGACTGCTTGAACCTAGAAGTTTCAGGTTACAGTGAGTTATGAGCTATGATAGCAACACTACATGCAGCCTGACCTTGTTTCTTTAAAAAAAAAAAGTAAATATTAGAAAAATAAAATTAGGTTGGGCATGGTGGCTCATGCCTGTAATCCCAGCATTTTGGGAGACCAAGTCTCTACAAACAAATCAAAAAAAGTATCTGGGCCTTGTGGCGCACACCTGAAGTCCTAGCTACTCAGGAGGCTGAGGCAGAAGGGTTGCCTAAGCCCAGGTCAAGTCTGCAGTTAACTGTGATCATGCCACTGCACTCCAGCCTGTGCAAGAGAATGAGACCCCGACTAAGAAATAAGTAAATAAATAAATAAAAAGAGAATTAAAATCCGCATGATAAGACGGCAAGGAGAGTGAAAGGAATAAAGAAACAGTAAGAAGGCAATAACAGAGAGTACTGCTTGGTAGCTATAATCGGAATATGCACGTACCATGGACTGATCTTCATTAAAGGAATCGGGGCACACGTGAAAAACACCGTTAGCAGCAAGAAGGACTTTCGGCCCCAAACATCAGAAAGAGCACCAATAAGCGGGGCACTAAGGAACGACAGCAGACCCTGGAAAATTCAAATGAAAAAGAGTACACTACAGAGTCACGAACCACAAACAAACCATTGTGTTACCACAGAAAAATCTTCAAAAGGTTTGTTTCTAAAATAAATATTTATGAAACTTCAGATAAGTAACTTCTTATCTCGATAGAATTTAAAATGTTCCATCTGGAATCACCTGCAGGGCCCGGGTGGGTATTAAATATGAAACGCTCTAATGAATTCTCAATCGCAATAATACTACATGAGTAATTCTAGAAAGATTATATTTTCTGTCTTTATATCTACAGGTTAATTATCTATTTATAAAATGTGTTGGTCAAATTGAACCAAGAGTAAAGAATCTGTCTAATAACAACACTTTACCAACAGATCTAGTTTTATGTTTGTGGGATTTTTTCTCCCTTTCAATCTGTTTTCTTTTTTTTTTTGAGTTGGAGTCTCACTCCGTCACCCAGACTGGAGTGCAGTGGCCGCTTCCGGCCATCTCAGCCTCGACCTGCTGGGCTCCGGCGATCCTTCCGCCCCAGACTTCCAAATAGCTGGAACTACAGGCGCGCACTACCATGCCGGCTAATTTTTGATTTACTGTAGAGATGAGGTCTCGCCAAGTTGCCCAGGTGGGTCTCGAACCCGCGGGCTCAGGTAATCCACTCACCTCAGCCTCCCAAAGTGCGGGATTATAGGCTGAGCCACCGAGCCCGGCTCAATCTGTTTTCTTAATGTTAGCTTATAAAAGCACTGAAATCTCAGGAATAAAAATGCCAACATAAGACACGGAGGAATCTGTTATGATGTGGTTTACTATTACACATAGTTGGCTATATTTAAGTAAAATCACACTTAAAGCCCAGTTAGTCTAAAAAATATTGAATAATCCCTTAAAATATACTCCATCTAGTTATAAAAATTAACACTGTGTGGATGAATCAGCTAACTTCATACACTGGTGGAATTACACATACATATATGTACTCCTGTGTGTACACGCATATCTGTGGATGGATGAATGGGGATGACTGACCTACCTTTACTCCTTGAATTAGGCCATTCATCAGAAATGTATGCTTAGGGAAGGTTTCATGCAACACCTAAAGAATAAAAACCAAAATAAAAATCACAGGCCACATTTTGGTCTTAGTAAAATGTCTATGTCTACATATCCAAACATCCCTTTATGATACAACCTAGTTTCATATCAACTTTCAGATTTGTACGGTGCTACACATGTATGAGCAAAAACCAATAACCAAGCATTCAGAGGGCATTTACTATGTCACAGGCACTAATGTGAGCATTTCCTTCCTCTAAGAACACTGTTAAGAGTTGCCACACAGAAAGGCCCTCACAGGCAGGGAGGGAGTGGCAACATGACGCCGAGGCTGTACCCGCAGGTCAGGCCGAGGCTTTGTTCCCGCCATGCTGCTTCTCACACGCAACTGGCGTGTCATGATCTTGAAGACGGCAACGTGACCACGACACGAGGCTAGGAGAATAGGGAGTTCTTAACTGCCACGAGGATAGATCCTGTCAAATAAGGAAACCATTCCCAGCCTATGAAAATGTGCACCAGGCTGCTCTGCCCTCTAGCCTGTTCTTGAATCCCATCTGCTCAGTGGCAACCAGACAGCCCTGGGCACGCGCTGGCTGAGCAGGCCCTGGGAGAAGTGGACAACGGCTGCCCTCCAGCCTGCACAGGCTTCCTGTGGCCTCTCTCATTTCTGACACCGCAAGTCAGGTAACATCACACTCAACAGATAGGTCACAGAGTCTTCACCTGAGAAGCCCCAACTCTTCCTCACACAGTGCCCTCAGCGAACATGGCAGGAAGCCCTGGAGGAGAAAAAAAGGAACCGTCCTCCCCAGGAGATGCTCAGGCCTCCCAATATGCTACAAGGACCACTAGGAGGACCAAGAGAGCTCCCTGTCTTCAGTTACTCCCCTGCCAATTACCAGAAATGGAACACAAATTTGCTCATTGTCCATAGCAAAAAAGAAAATTAGAAATGAAATGTTAACAATCAAAGAAATCATTAACATGGGACAAGCACATATTTATGATATTCACATATTCTGTTTCAGTGGTTTTCAAATGAGAGCAATTCTGCACTCCTGGGGACATCTGGAAACATCTGTAGATGTTTTGATGATGACAACTTGGGGAGTTGGGGTAGGGAAGACACTACTGACTTCTAACAGGCAGAGGCCAAGAATGCGGCTCAACACCCTCAGATGCATGGGTCAGCCCCCTACAAATAATCATCTGGCCCAAATTGTCAAGAGTGTCAAGGTAGAGAAACCCTGTTATTCATAATAAAGACCCACGGATCTAAAGAAGGGGCTGCAGAATTCTTTAAAGGAGAGAGTAAGTATGCTCTGCTCTTCCCAGCTTTGAAGGCCACAGTGTGTCACAAACACTCACCTTTGACTTGCAGCACACAGACGCAGATCTTAGGATATGAGTGAGGGTGACTGTGCTCCACTAAAACTGTATTTACAAAGGCAGTGTGCCAGAAGGGTCTAGCCCTCTGCCATATGCTGCCAGCTCTACCACTAAGGGAAAGACCTGGTATCCCGAGAAGGTGGCATGTAATGACTACCTTAGAAAGCCTCCACATGCTGGGTCTCACCATGGGTGACTCATTTTGCCGCACTTCCTCTACCCCATCAACCTGCTCTCCCCACTGTCTGGGACACAGCCTGTGCCTCCCCACAGTCAAGCCTGCACATGTGACACTGTCCCTTTTGAGTGTATGCTCGCCTTGTCTTCTCTGTCTAGCCACCCCAAACCATCCACGTTGCTCTTCGGCTACCAAACTGTCTTCTCCAAAGCAATCCATGTCTCCTCTAGGGCCCTGCTATTTCTGACAAAATTTTAACAGAGACAAATGTGACAAGTATTTCAAATGTAAAGATTTTTAATCTGTCAGGATCCCATAGCACTGGTCTTTATAGTTGAATATAAAAAATGTAACATGCTTTCAGATTATCTTATGAATCTTAAAAAAAAAAAATTTTTTTTGAGTTGGAGTCTCGCTCTGTCATTCAGGCTAGAGTGCAGTGGCATGCTCACAACTACTGCAGCCTCAACCTGCTGGGCTCAGGCTATCCTTCCGCCTAAGTCTTCCAAGTAGCTGGAACTACAGGCGTGTGCCACCACGCCCGGCTAACTTTTTGATTTATTGTAGACATCAAGTTGCTCAGGCTGGTCTCAAACCTGTGGGCTCAGGCAATCCTCTCACCTCGGCTTCCAAAAGTGCTAGGATTATAGACATGAGCCACCATGCCCAGCTAAATCTTAAAATTTTTAAGAACTTTAAAAATGTTGACAATAAAGTATACAGTCCTTAAAATATTAAATAGTCTGTTTCTATAGCCAAGAATGCAAAACCATTTAGGCAGAAGAGATGCTAGTGGATTTGCGTGTTCCATAATGGCCTGTGCATCTAGGGGCTTGAACCATCAAACATTGGCCTAGGATTCCCAGAACCACAGATTTGTCAAAAAGGTAAAGCCACTCACTTCTCGGCATTATAGATCCATATACCTTCTGTCATTAATTCTCTTTATCTAGCTAACATGCCATTTAATCAATCAAAGACCACTGACTGAACAGCACTATGACCAGCCATATATCCATAACCTCTCTCAAGTGTTAAGAGTACCTCTTGGTATAAAATTCCTCCTCGTAGCTGACTTAAATTGCCTTGCGAAGCCCCCCCATTGCCCTGGGCAGGTCCTCCACAACAAACACAGCCTTTGTTCTCTGATCATGTTCTATGAGGGTTCAACACAAAGACAACTGCAACCACAGAAAGTTTTTTAAAAATCTTAAAATGAGACCTGGTGCGATGCCTCACACTTATATTCCCAGCACTTTGGGAGGCTGAGGGAGAGGATTGCCTGAGCCCATAGGTTAGAGACCATCCTGGGCAACTTGGCGAGACATTGTCTCTACAATAAATCAGGAAAAATTAGCCTGGCGTGGGGCACATGCCTGTAGTTCCAGCTACTTGCAAGAAGCAGAAGGATCGTCTGAGCCCCAGAAGTTGAGGTTGTGGTGGCTGTGACCATGCCACTGCCCTCCAGCCTGGGTGACAGAGTAAGACATCAACTCAAAAAAAAGTCTTAAAATGTCATATTAATTATAAAAATTTAAAAAATGAATGGCCGCTGGGCGCGGGGGCTCACGCCTCTAATCCCAGCACTTTAGGAGGTGAAGTGAGAGGACTGCCTGACCTCAGGGGTTTAAGACTAGCCTGTCTCTACAATAAATCAAAAAATTAGCCAGGTGTGGTGGCACATGCCTGTGGTTCGAGCACCTTGGAAGGCTGAGGCAGAAGGATCACCTAAGCCCAGCAGGTAAAGGCTGCAGTGGCATGAACATGCCACCAGACTCCAGCCTGGGTGACAGGGTGAGATGCCAATTCAAAAAAACAAAATTACCTGAGTTCAGGGGTTCGAGACCAGCCTGGGCAACTTGGCGAGACCTTGTCTCTACAAAAAACGAGTCAGGCTTGGTAGTATACATCTACCAGTTACTTGGAAAGCTGAGGTGGAAGGATCACCTGAGCCCAGCAGGTCCAGGCAGTGGCCATGAACATGCCACTGCACTCTAGCCTGGGCGACAGAGTGAGATTCCTACTCAAAAAAAAAAAAAAAAAAATCTAGTTTATCATAAATCTAAAACCAAACATTCACTATAACTGATAAGTCTAAAAATGGTTATCTGTTAAATAAATTAATTTAAAGAATATCTTTGAGATTTGAAATGCTAAAACTAATAGTTGAGGGCAGGTATGGAAAGAGAGAGATTGATGTAATATATAAGTAAGTTGAATTATATCTTCATCCTCACTTTTCCTTTCTAAATGAATGTCAAGAGCTGTGTCTCTGTCTTTTTTTTTTTGAGTTGGAGTCTCACTCTGTCACCCAGACTGGAGTGCAGTGGCTGCTCCCACC